GCTAGATAACCTACAAAATTTAGTGTTTTTTTAAAGCCCATCAGAGGGCCGAGGATGCAGGAAAACTCATGATCTAAAATCCAGAAAAGGACTAGCCTTACCTAGGACTGCAGAGACCCCTGGCTGCTTTCATCTTTTTTTTTTTTTTTTTAAGATTTTGTTTATTTATTTATTTGACAGAGAGAGAGGGCGCGCACAAGCAGTGGGAGCGGCAGGCAGAAGGAAAGGGAGAAGCAGGCTCCCCACTGAGCAGAGAGCCTGACATGGGGCTCAATCGCAGGACCCTGATATCATGACCTGAGCCAAAGGCAGATACTTAATGACTGAGCCACGCAGGTGCCCCCCTGGCTGCTTTCATCTTTGGCAGAGCGGCAGGAAAAAGAGGAGGCTGCCTCACAAAATAATGGAGGGCAAAAGATAAGCAAACTGTATCTTTAAGTCCTAAAACAAAAGTTGGCCAAGAATTCTATACCCAATAAAAATATCCTTCAAAAATGAAAGCAAAATTTCATACAAATAAAGCTGAAAGAATTTGTGCCACAATGACCTGCACTACAAACAAATCTAAATATTCGTTAGGGTAAAGGAAAATAACACGTAGAAACTCAGTTCTACAGGACGCAAGACAGAAATCAAAAAGGGTAAATAGGATTTCTCTTTCTGCTACTTCATTATTGGTGTACAGAAATGCAACAGACTTCTGTGCATTGATTTTTATATCCTACGACTTTGCTAAATTCCTGTATCAATTCTAGCAATTTTTTGGTGGAGTCTTTCAGCTTTTCTACATAGATGTCATCTATGAAGAGTGAAAGTTTGACTTCTTCCTTGCTGATTCTGATATCTTTTATTTCCTTTTGTTGTCTGATTGCTGAGGCTAGGACTTCCAGTACGATTATGAACAACAGTGGTGAGAGTGAACATTTCGGTCTTGTTCCTGACCTTAGGGGAAAAGCTCTCAGTTTTTCCCCATTGAGGATGATATTAGCTGTGGGTCTTTCATATATGGCCTTTATGACGTTGAGCTATGTTCTTTCTATCCCTTTCTTGAGGACTTTTTAAAAAGATTTTATTTATTTGAGAAAGAAATAGTGACAGAGATATGAGAAAGAGCACGAGCAGGGGTGAGCAGGAGAGGGAGAAACAGGTTCCCCACCCAGCAGGGAGCGGGATGTGGGGCTCGGGACCCTGGGATCATGACCTAAACCCAAGTCAGATACTTAACCGACTGAACCACCCAGGCGCCCCCTCCCCACTTTTTAAATATTTTATTTATTTGAGAGAGACAGATATCGAGAGAGAACACGAGCAGGAAGAGGGAGAAGCATTTTCTTGAGGATTTTTTATCAAGAAAGGATGGTATTTTGTCAAATGCTTTTTCTTCATCTATTGAGAGGATCATAGGATTCTTATTCTTTATTAATGTGGTGTTTCACATTGATTGATTTGTGGATATTGAAACACCCCTGCAGCCCAGCAATAAATCCCACTTGGTCATGTTGAAAGATGTGCTATATATACACAACAGAATATTACTCAGCCATCAAAAAGAATGGAATCTTGCCATCTGCAATGACGTGGATGGAAACTAGAGTATATTACGCTAAATGAAACAAGTCAGTCAGAGAAAGACAAATACCATATGATTTCACTCCTATGTGGAATTTAAGAAACAAAACAGATGAGCATAGGGGAAGGAAAGGAAAAATAAGATAAAAACAGAGAGGGAGGCAAACCATAAGACTCTTAAATATGGGGAAAAAACTGAGGGCTGCTGGAGGGGAGGTGGGTAGGCGGGTGGGGGGATGGGGTGATTGGGTGATGGGCATTAAGGAGGGCACTTGATGTAATAATGAGCACTGGGTGTTATATGCAACTGATGAATCACTAAATTCTACACCTGAAACTAATACTACACTATATGTGAACTCACTTGAATTTAAATAAAATCTTGAAAGAACAAAAAGGGTAAATATGTTGATAAATACACAGGAATTTTTAAACATTTTAAACATTACATATACACATGCATCTTTAAATTTCACTAAAAGATTACTGATTCTTTAAATTAAAAGTAATAAAAATATAGAGCATATGTAGAAGCAAAATATATAGAATATATATAACAGAATATATAGAAGTAAAATAAGAGCACAAAAAGTGAGAAGATGGTATTGCAAGTATAAAGGGTAATATTCTTATGCTGTTCATGAAGTACTAGAATATGTTTGAAAATCAGCCATGATAAATTCAAGACACATATGTAATCAATCTCTAATACCACCAATAAAAAAATAACATGAAGGGACAAAACTAAAAAGATAGGGGAAAAAATGTTTTTCTAAAAACTCAATTCACCCAAAAAGAAGGCAGGGCAAGAGGACCAAAGAGTAAATGAAAAAATGGAAAAAGAACACCAATATACTTAATCCAAACACAGAAAAAAGTTATTAAACTATAAATGGACTATATACCACTATTAAAACACAGAGATTGTTGTGAGACTGGATAAACAACTTCAGCCCAACTGTATGTAGTTTATAAGAAACACATTTTAAACATAAACACACAGATGAGTTAAAAGGAAAAAGCAAGAGGCAAACATTAAGCTTATATTAATGTCAGAACAGGCTTCCATGTAAAAAGTATTTTCAGGGATAGAATGGACATCTCAGAATGATAAAAGGGTCAATTTGGCAAAAAAGACAAAAGTTTCTTAAAAGTGTATCTGACTAATAACACTACCAAATATAAGAAAAAAACCTGACAGAGCTGAAGGGAGAAATAGACAAATCTACAATCATAATTAGAGACTTCAGACTTAGCACATCTCCCAGAGTAACTGACAGAATAAGGAGACATTAAAAATGTGAAGATAAAAGGCTTGAGCAACACTCTCAACCAGCTTCCCCTAACTGACATTTAGACTACTCCACCCACCACCAGTAGAATACACATTTTTCCCCGCGGATAAATGGAATATTGACCAAGAAAGACCATAGGTTAGGCAAGAAGAAAAAAATAAACTCAATAAATTTAAAGGTACTGAAATAATACATGTTTTCTGACCACAACATCGCTAATTTAGGAATCAACAGCAATGATCTACCTAAAAAAATTCTAAAATATTTGGAAATAAAATAACACACCTAAATAAATAATGGAGCAAAGAAATCACAAAGATTTTAAAATATCTTTAAATGATAATGAAAACATTCCAAATTTGTGGGATCTAGCTAAGCATGGTTAGAGGAAAACTTGCAGCTTTAAATGCTTATATAAAAGGAAAAGAAGGTAGAAAATCAATTATTTATGTTTCCACCTTAACAAGTGAGAAAAAGAGCAAATTAAACCCAAATTAAAAGAAACAAAATTAAAAAGTAGAAATCTGAAACAGAAAACAGACATATAGAGAAAATCAACAAAGTCAAAAATTTTAAATATAGGACAGAACACACATGAAATCACAAAGTCGGACAGTGTAAACAAAACAATTTATATGTTTTATATCTGATATATTTTGATATTTGGAACTAGTTCAGTCACTGCTATGAATTTTATTAATCGCTTTATAATAAATATTTCTAATAAAAATGTGGTTTCCTAGTTTTTCCACCAGTTTCATGTTGACACCAGTCTCATGTTTGCAGCTTTCCCACTTTGGACAGGCTGAGCTCTGAACACCCATTTAACTCTGAAATTATAATGATTTGTCTGGCAATTATAATCACTTATAATTAGAGCAATGTCTTGCACGTAGTTATTTCAATGGCTAGATGCAATCACTCTGCACGATTAAATACAGAAATATCAAAGAATATTGGTAATGCTGGGCACAGATAAATATAAAACGATTAAAATTTTTCATCATATAAAAAGCATATACATAGCATTAGTTGTTTATTTGGCCATTACATGTGTAATTAACTCCTACTAAAGGATGAGGCACCTGTGGCTACTCCATAAATATTGATGTTAAGATGATGAAAGTAATATCGCCTTACAGTAAGTTGCCTAAGTCTAAACCAAATAAATCAATACATAAATGCTTAGAGAAAATCCAAAACCATGGATATACGTGATCTTCCCAATAAGCTATTTTACAGTGACCCATAGTTTATGAGGGTTTATGCTCTGTGCATTAACAATATTACATGAAAAATAATCCCACCCCCTCTACTGGCAAACCCACAGTATCGCGGGTTGGTTGCCAGGTCGGATTTTTTAACCCCTCTCCATCTTTCTCAGAGCATCAGGTATCTGACCATTGACATCATCTGGGCACCCGACCAGGTGATCCGCGTTTCCACGAGCCGGATCGGTGCACGGGGCTGGGTTCATGGCCTCAGGCCGCAGGATTTGTGCGCGGAAGCCCTCGGCAGCTCGGCCGTTCCGCAGTTCGCCTCAAACCGCACATTTATTTATGTTTTGTTTTTACCAAACGCTTGCCACTGCGCTTCTACAGAAGGCATTTCCATTACTAAATAATGACATAAAAATAAGCACAACAGAAAAAAGGAGGTCAGCAGGGAAAGCACCTAAGGGCTGGGAACATCTGCTTCTAATGGAAGCGATCTCCACCTTCAGGAGAAATCAACCAAACAAGCCTCAGCCTACTGCGCACGTTCGCTAGCGGGGCCAGCGTGAAGGGCAGCTCCTTTGGTTAGGAGAGGACCCAGCCTCCCTAAAAACCACTCCTGGCCTGTTCTGCCCCGGGGAGCTCGGACCCGGACCTAGTCCGGGAGGGAGGCCGCAGGGGGCGGCGAGGCCCTGAGACACCGCGTGCGCGCGTGGCGTGCGTCTCCCGCCGCGCCTCCACCTCAGGGCGTCGCCACGGGAACCAAGGATTTGGCCTCCCGCCCGGCAGGCCGGGGAAGGGCGCGGCCCGACCGCCGGCCGGAGGGAGGGGGGCCGCGGGAGGCCGCAGACTCTCACCGCGACGCTGAAGCCGCGACGCACCGGTCCTCCGCCGCCTCGGGTCGCGCTTGGCTGCGCGGAGGTCCGTCCCGGCACCCGTTCCTGCCGCCGCCGCCCGCGAGCCCCGAGACGCCGCCGGGCCACTCCCGCAGCCCGTGCCCCTCCGCACCCGTGCGTGGAGGTGTTGGGCTCCGGCTGCGGGAGGCGGGAGGTTTAAACCGGGCGGCCTGGCGCGTGCGGAAGCCGCGCTGCCCTCGGCGCCTCGGTCTGGCGTCCGCGTTCTCGCCTTTTCGGGCTCTAGCCTAACCCCACCGAGGCCCGGCTCTCGGTCCGTTTTCCGATGAACTCCGGGACCCATTCTGGTCTTCCTTTACCAAATGCCAGGTTATTAAACACGAAAACGATCAGAACATCAGAATTAAGGAACTGTGAGGCCCCTGAGGCATTCTCGGTTTCCTTTTTAAGCCCAGCACCTCGGCCCGGGTCCCTCCCTGCCTCCTCCGAGCCCGCACCGCACCTGCCAGGCCTGCCGGTGCCACCTCTACCAGACTAGGAGCTTCGGAGCCTCAGTCATTCCTGAATCCTGGGGCGCTTCTCAGGACCAGTGCCCGCACGCGGTAACTGTTCACGTGCTATATTTAACTCTTATCGTAAGGGTTTAAAGAGGATTAGGTTAACAGCTGTTAATAACTGACCTCAAATGCACATATACATAACCATAATTCCATAATTTGCGTTCATAAATGAGTCAAGAGTAAAAGGCAAAATTTGAGCCTAAAAACTAAAGAAAAAAATGGAAATAAGACAAAAGTAAATTGTTCCTGGTGGAAGATAATTTAAATTCAAAGAACTTTCCTTTTAAAGGTGATTCAAAATATCCTATCACTTTACTAAAGCTTTACAGAATATTAATTACAACTGTGACATAGCCTAGCAAGGAAAAAAGCTTACACTCCAGGTGATAACTGTAAGTCTGTAAGATCGTGAAAGATGGAGTGAGATTCTAGAATATTATTACAAAGTACTTAACCTTAAAAACCTGAAAGTAGTTTTAGAATAGGAAAAGGAATAGGTTATTTATACCAGAGTTAATATGGACTGAAAATAGTGAGAGGTCTTTAGGCCAGGGATTCTTACCCTGAAATATATGGTGTTTCAAGGAATGGGTGAATACCTAAAATAATATGCAAAATTTTGGCATGAGTCTTTTAAAAATAAATTTTCTAGAAATGTAACCAAACCCAAGTTACACTGTCCAAAGCACAGCAAAGCCAATCACTGAGACATCATGTATGAAAGAGAAGGGTTTATTCTAGAGGCAGCCAAAGAGGTAGAAGGGCAGGCTTCAAATCTGCCTCTTTGAAGGGGGAGAGAAGTTTTTTTTATAACCACAGGGGTTGGGATTACATATATATTGATGAAAAGGATGGTGAAAACTTGTGGTTATTCATGAGGAAAGATGGAGCATGTTTATTGAGCAAACATGTAACATATATCCCATACTCACTTGTGTGGAGACTTAAAATGGGGAAAAATTCAGCCCCTGCTGTGAGGCATCTTAGGACAACGAAAGGGACTATGGGTTTTCTCCAAGAGAGCCCAGATAAACTGGAGGGGGTCTTGGGCTCATTATCTAGGGTAAGGAAGACAGGGCCTTGCTGTTCATAGGCTGGAACCATATCAGTGACTTCTAGCCCAGGTCTCCCTAGTGGATTTGTAAACACACAATAGCTGATTAGGGTCTCTGAAAAATAAGCTTTAGATTTCTTAATTTCAACCTCATTAACCCTATGGGGACAACCTCAGAAAGAGTCCACAGCTTTCCTCAGATTCAAGTCCAGATCCTTAGAAGGGTAAAAATTAGCATTTGGCAGTAAGGATGACTTCTGTACTTCCTCAGATCTTTCCTCACTCATGATAGGTTTGGCATCCCTCGTAAGGAAATATTTCTACTCTCAACAAATGTAATTATTTTTCTGCCTGCCTTCCTCACTGGATGCTGAGCTCTGCCAAAGTAAAACATTTATGCATTTCAGTAGCTTTACCTCTTGAACACAGTGCCTAATACATATTGCATTCTGAATGAGTTTATTCAATCAATAAGTGAACAGAAGCAAAGACAGCTAATTGACAACTGAAGGATACTGTATAAAATATCTAAAAAGAACTGAACACCTTTCTTCCCAACGAATAAATGATTGTAATATGGTAAGAAAATGACTTTCAGAATGTTACCATGCACACGTTAAGTTTCTTGGGGTATTTTAGAAAATGCTTCTTCCAACAGGATGAAGTTATGTTTTGTTTTTTGAAGATTTTATTTGTCCATTTGACAGAGAGAGCACAAGCAGGGTGAGCTGCAGAGGGAGAGAGAGAGAGAAGCAGGTTCCCTCGTGAGCAGGGAGCCCGGTGAGGGGCTCCATGTGGGACTTGATCCCAGGACCATGGGATCACAACCTAAGCCAAAGGCAGAGGCCCAACCAACTGAGCCACCCAGGTGCCCCCTCAACAGGGTGAAGTTTAACTCAAGAGGATATTAAACATCAGCTCAATCTGAAGCAGAGAAAGGTCCTTTAAGAAATATACCAGAAAGTTGGAGTAGTGACTGTGGGCAAGGCCTGTTGGTTTTGTTCACTTAACTGGGGAAAATTACTGGAGATACACAATGTTTCCAAGCCACCATAAAATGTAGCATTTATACATAACTACATTTCCTTCACAAGTCACTAAGAAAGGTGGGCAAATGGTGGCAAAGTATAAAAATTGTTTCAGCAAACAAGGTCGAGCTACTGACACTCCTGGGCAGGAATCAGGTTTTCTTAATCAGGTATTTGATATATGTTTATAGAATGAATCAATGACCTTGTTAGCTGTTGGATTGATAAGAAAATACTTAAATGCCTTGTACTAGTCCCTTAACAGATAAATGAGGCATCCAGAGTAGTTAAAATGTCATGTTTCATAAATAAGCTTTTTTTAGGAAACAAGAATTTATACTATTAAAATGCTTTTATATGGGAGGATATAATTTCATCTAGAAGTGCAAATATTTATAGAAGTGTTATGTAATTTTCTATAACAGGTTTATCCTAATATGAAGTGTTTTCCTCCACTGTAGGCTTCTACAAGTGAACTAGAAAAGACAATTAGATGACTTGGAATGTGGGGCTCCACAAATCTGGAAGCCAGTGCAATAAACAATGATCTTTTGTAATACCAAGCAAACCTCTTGTTAATCTAAATAAAACTTCAATTGATATTTAAAAACATACTAAGAATTCTATGCTTTTTGTGTTATTTTACTCATTAAAGATTAGGGATCTACTGAACTTGATGTCATGGAAATAGCTCCGTTCCTTCAAAGTGTTCCACTTTCCTTGTAATCTGTTTGATCTTACCAAGGAAGTCAGAAGTAACAGGTCAGTGGCAGTTAGTAAGGGTATGGAGAGCTATCTTCCCAGATGCCTACACTAGTACTTACATATCGGAAGCCAAACATGCTCTCTACCATACTACATTTTTGTTGATTCTAGTAAGGCTAGAGTTAGAGACAGTATTATTAGGATGATTCTTTTAAAATTAAATGTTATAGACCTATTAAAAAAAGTATTTCCTCCCCCTGAAACCACTGAACTGAATTTGGTATTAATAATTGCCCAGCATTTGTCTATACTTTTACTATCCATACAGATTGTTTGACACAGATTGTACCTAACAAGATCATTTCTCTATCTCTAATTACTGAGGAATGTGTCCTATCTCCATCATTAATTGGCTGTACACCTTCACACAAGGTATTTAAGCTGTCTGGGTTGTGGTTTCCTTTAGTAACATGAATAATGTGATAATTCAAGTGATATGAATGAGTAACAGGATAATTTCCAAAGTTGCCTTTTGCTCATATACAATTCCTATATGAAAAGAAATGGGTCTTGGGACGCCTGGGTGGTTCAGTCGTTAAGCGTCTGCCTTCGGCTCAGGTCATGATCCCAGGGTCCTGGGATCGAGTCCCACATCAGGCTCCCTGCTCAGCAGGAAGCCTGCCTCTCTCTCTCCCACTCCCCGTTTGTGTTCCTGCTCTCATGCTCTCTCTGTCAAATTAATAAATAAAATCTTAAAAAAAAAAAAGAAATGGGTCTTTAAAAAAAAGACTATATTATGCTAATACACTTAGTATACTAAAATTGAAATTAATTTTAAGGCAAAAACATGCAAAGCTGAACATAACATTATGGTAATTTGGTAACAATGAATGCCACTTAAAATTATATACAACCTTCCTTTTATGTAGGTGAAGATGTCTTCAAACTTACTCTTCACATTTGTAAAAATATTCTTATGAATGACTTAAGAATTGGCAGAATATATATGTAGTAAAGAGCTTGAGCTCTAGACTCAGATACATCCAAATTCAAATCCTGACCCTGCTATTTACCGGCTACGTGAAATCTAGTCAAATAACTTGACTCCTCTAACACATATATTCCTCCTTTAAAATAAAGGTCATTAGGCATCTGCCTTTGGCTCAGGTCATGATCCCAGGGTCTTGAGATTGAGCCCCACATCGGGCTCCCTGCTCAGCGGGAAGCCTGCTTCTCCCTCTCCCACTCCCCCTGCTTGTGTTCCCTCTCTCGCTGTGTCTGTGTCAAATAAATAAAATCTTTAAAAAATAAGTAAATAAAATAAAGATCACTTAGTCATTTTAATGTCAAAGGATTGCTATGGCAGCATACAGGTGGATTTGGGTGGATTTTTTTTTTTCTTTTTTGCCATTTTAGTAAACACTGCCAGAAAATAATTTACTTCGGGGAGCCTGGGTTGCTCAGTTGTTGGGCGTCTGCCTTTGGCTCGGGTCATGATCCCAGAGTCCTGGGATTGAGCCCCATGTTGGGCTCCCTACTCCACGGGAAGCCTGCTTCTCCCTCTCCCATTCCCCCTGCTTGTGTTCCCTCTCTCGCTGTTTCTGTCAAATAAATAAAATCTTAAACAAAATAATAATTTACTTCTTCAGATCTGTGAATATCAGTGGATATTGTAACAAAGATAGCCTATCTAACCCTATGAACTCCCCCCAAAATTCTACATTACATTAAAGACATATCTAGTTTAAAATCAGAACCACAAGAAACTGGGACTCCTGGGTGGCTCAGTTGGTTAAGTGTCTGCCTACGGCTTAGGTTGTGTCACGACCTGCATTGGGCCCCCTGCTCAGTGGGGAGCCTGCTTCACCCTCTGCCTGCCTCTCTCCCTGCTTGTGTTCTCTCTCTCTCTCTCTCTGACAAGTAAATAAAATCTTAAAAAAAAAACACAAGAAACAGCAAGTGTTGGCGAGGATGCGGAGAAAAAGGAACCCTCTTGCACTGTTGGTGGGAATGCAAACTTGTGCAGTCACTGTGGAAAATGGTATGGAGGTCCCTCAAAAAGTTAAAAATAGAACTACGCTAAAATTCAGTAATTGCACTACTGGCATTTACCCCTAAAATACAAAAACCCTAATTCAAAGGGATACATGCAACCCCTATGTTTGTGGCAGCATTATTTACAATAGCCAAACTATGGAAACAGCCCAAGTGTCCATCAATAGATGAATGGATAAAGAAGATATGGTATATATATACACACAATGGAATATTATTCGGCCATAAAAAATGAAATCTTGCCATTTGCAACGACATGGATGGAACTAGAGAATAATGCTTAGTGAAGTAAGTCAGAGAAAGACAAACACCATATGATTTCACTCATGTGGAATTTAAGAAACAAAACAAAGGAAAAAGACAAACCAAGAAACACCCTCTTAACTAGACAGAACAAACTGATGGTTACCAGAGGGGAGGTGGATGGGGGGAATGAGTGAAACAGGTGATGGGGATTAAGGGGTGCACTTGCTGTGAAGAGAACTGGGTGATGTATGGAATTGCTGAATCGCTATATTGTACAACTGAAACTAATATCACACATTAACTCTATCAGCATTAAAATGAAAATCTTAAAAAGTAAATTTAGCTTATATAACAAAATACTAATTAACATAGTGGGTTTTTTTTTTTACAACTCACACCCCATCCTCTACCTCTTATCAGTATGTTTGATACTAGAAAACTATGATAGTCTAAAACTCTCAGTATTAAAGTAAATAAAAGTTCCTTTTATTAGCAGTTTCTCATTAATTTGGATTTCACTTGCCTTTTGAAACCTGATTCCAATTTGTGGCTCTTTAAATAAAAGAAATAATTGAATATTGCTTGCATATGCAGAGTCTCAAATGTCATTTTTTTTCCTTTTAGAAGTTATAGTAGTATAAAGATTATTTCTCCTTATATTTGCTTTATATAAGCAAATGACTTTTCAAGATTAGAATACAGAAGAATTTTTGTGAAAAGATTTCAATGTTATCAGAAATTCCCAGATGGTATTTGGTTTGCTGGGTTGTTTGTTAAATTATGCAATTATGTATATTTTATATCAATTTAAACTTTCATTTGTTCTTTTCCCCAATAATGCTAGGAAGCATTTTGATATATTATTATGCATCGATGACAATAGTTTCAAAATGGCCAGTCGAAATTCAAAGGACAAAGCAAATACCAGTCATCTGTTCATAGAAAATCTATTATGTTTTTCTGCATTCTATGCAGAATTAAAAATCTTACATAACTCAAGTTTCTACCCTAATAATCTCTAGGTAATTGTCACAGCCAGGTTTTGTTTTCGTGGTTTCCAATGTAAAAAGATCATCATGTCTTAGACAAGACCCGGAGGCAGCTTTATCTAAGAGGAAAACAAAACTGAACTACTTAGCATATGAAGAAATATGCTTTCTTCCTTCCTCATGGTGTTTCTGAACTATCATTTTTGCCAGAGGTAACAGCTCCACCTTTCCCAACCTGTATCTGTCCAGATCTGGCTAAAGTAGCACTCTACTACAATGCTTTTCTTGACATCCAACTTGCTTCCCACAAAACTAATTGGTTCCTTCTCTATGTCACCTTTCTACCTTACATTTACATCTTTCATGCATTTAAGTCACTGTTATAACTAATTTTTAAATGAGTGTTTCTGTGCAAGCTTATCTTTTTGGAGGTAGTGTCCATGTCATACATTTTTCTGTGTTTTTTTCCCTTTTCCTCCATCTCCAAAGAGACCCTGGTACATGGTAGAAGTTCAGTCTTTGTTCTTGAACTGACAGTTAGGTATACCTTGAGTCTAAATTTTAATATTAGCAAGATTATTGTTAAAACAGAAAGGAATTTCTTAAAACTTTGTTCGATGAGGTAAAAGCAAGGATCAAAATGGTTAGGAACGTCGTAACTTGTCTTCTAGGCTTTGGTTGGCCTCTCTTATTTTTCCTGTTTGAGGAGTAATCTAACTACCTGAGTTACACAAGGAGAGAAATTTGGCAGAGATTGATCCCAGAGACTTGATCACTAATGTTACACCCATCCCAAGGGAGAATGCCTGAAGCATGAATGTATCCTCCTTGGAACCAGGGTTGAAAATAAGTGAGGGACCAATACTTGATGCTACTTCCTTCTTTGTCCACTACATCTAATAAATAAGCCTCTTTACCTTTGCTTCAACTACCTAGTGTATGCATACTACAATTGAGCCCAGACTGGGTGAGTTAAGAAAAACATTTAGATAACTCTGACAAAGGCTCATTCAGAGAACATTTAAAACAAGAAATTCTTCTTTGTCCTATAAAAGTTAGACTTCTAGACACTACAGATACGATGAAATTTATACCAGTCTACACTAAATGAGAAAAACAGACTGGTATATTTTCTAGCTAACTTGATATTCACTTTTTTTTTTTAAGATTTTATTTATTGGAAAGAGAGCAAGAGAGGGAGAGAAAGCACCAAGGGAGAGGGAGAAGCAGACTCCCTGCTGAGCAGAGAGCCAGATGCGAGGCTTTATCCCAGGACCCCTAGATCATGACCTTACACTTAACTGAGCTATCCAGGCACCCCTTTTTTTTGGCATTAAAATACATTTTCTTTTAAGAAATTATATAATAACTGTAGCTCTAGCTCTTTGTGAAGATGAGGACCATATCCTAGGGACAGATGAAGCCTGGGTCCCTAAGAGTGTAGAACAAAACCACTCTCCGAGCCTTAGACTGCCTCGATTTCAACTTGTAAGAGAACTAAACTCCTAACTGGC